GTAAAGTTCCACACTATCCTCCAGTTTCCTGAGCATCTTTCTGTATGCTGGTGTCATGGCTTGCACTTCACTACCAGGCAGTGGAATCGAAACTCGCCTAGGCTCAAGAGCATCACTACCTAGTTTCTCAACTTGACTTTCTGAATCTTGCTTACCACGGTTGCGCGCAGGTGCAGAATGTTTCGGTTCAATGACTTGAGGTTCATCTGAATCAATTTTGTCCAAACCTAACTCCCTAGCTACCTTATCAAGCTCATCTTCTTCATCAAGCTTGGGATAGGAGACAACAACCTTCTTTCTTGATGAACCTGATTGAGAGTCATCGACAACCTGAGGTTTCTGCTTACCTACGTGTCTTTTGGCTGCAGGTGGACCTACCTCAATCTTTTTCGAGCCTGGTCCATTTGAAATCGGTTTGCCTTCCTCCTTCTTTAAGGAGCTTGGCTTCTTCTTCTGTACACCTGATGGCACTGAAGAGGCTGACTCAGGGTGAAAAAGATCATCAATGTTTCCACGAAAGGGCCTTGCACGATCAATGTCACTTCTGACAATGTCATCTGGGATCACGTAGTCCTCCTTGATCTTGTAGATGGTCTTGCCCTTCCAGAACTCTTCACTCTGTTCAGAAAACCTCTTCTTCTCAGTGCGCCAGTTGTCCTTGTGAAGAACCTTCTTCTTGCTCTTCTGGAATTCCATGTGGGTTTCTCTCTCATCAAGAAGTTGATCTTTTGGAATTGGAGTTTTCTCTGATCGAGTCATCTCATGTAAGTTCATTCTCTTGTCCTTGTGGTGCCTGATGAGTTCACGACGTAGTGGATCAACCTGCCAGTAGTCACCAGTCACCAAAGCTTCTCCTTCATGATCATCTTGTTTGACAGCAATCTGGCTGTACTCAAAGTGATCGTGTTGTGAATAGAAACTTTTGACTTGTGGAGTCTTGAAATGAACTTGGCTCATGTACCATGCTACATCTTGTAGGTCGAGAATGAGATGAGTACTAATGGCTGTCCTCAAAACCATTTTTCTCATGCCAATACGTGCACAGGACAAATAAGCCTTCTCTGGAGTAAGTTCAAATTGAAATCCAAGGTTTCTCATCTGTGGAAGTGACATCAACAACGGGACATCACCTTCTTCGACAATGTCGAATTCTGTAAACTGAGTGTTCCATCCATGATCATACATGAATATCACGAGCTTCTCAGTACATTTTGATTGTTGTGAGTTTGCAAAGAAGAATCTTGAACTTGTTGGCTGAATTTCATACCAGAGTCCACTGTTGGGATGTGAGTCAACATATCTGCAAAATGCTTCAACTGCTCGTCGAGAGCCCATAGCTCTTGTGCATCCAAGATCCAGAATACACACAGTTGGTGGTGCAGAATTCTCTGTGTGAAAAGCTAGTCCATTCTCACATGCCAGATCAGTTTGTACAGTATGAAATGAAAAAGCACTCTGCTGTGATGGTTCCTCTATCTCTGTAGAGCATCCATGTGAAAACAATGATGTGCCTTCTGCCAATGGCTTCCATGAAGCCTCACCTTCTTGAAGACCAACTTGCCTGGGCACTACAGCTGGACGTTGTTGTACACCTTGTCGTAGTGCACCAACTTCTCCAACCAGAACAGGGAATCTCTTCATTTCTCTCCTGTTTTGATGTGCTCTTGCATCACGTTGGTTCTGTCCTCCACGACGAGTACGTCGTTGTTCATCTTGTGCTGCATACGTGGATGTCAAAACATCAACACGTGCTGGCTCTGTCTCTGCAACATCAACACGTGCTGGTTCAGTTGTTCCAAATGAAAAGAAACCATGACCAGAACTTGAAGCTGCAGAAGAATAATGAGCTTGTTGAGTTGGTTGATTCTGTATGGCAGGAGCTGATGTGGTCTGAGGTTGAACATAGTTCGACTTGCCTTTTCCATCTCCTGGCTTTCCTCCTTTTCCATCATCATCCTTCCTTGCCTTTCTTGCCTTTCTTTCCTTTTCCTTTTCCTTTTCCTTTCTTCTGGAAGTATCCATACTCATCCATGTAGTACAGATCATCATAGGCCCAATAGCCTTCATTCCAGGTTTGATCATCGGCCCAATAGCCGTCATAGTTTTCATTCCATTCATCTTCTTGCCATTCATCTTCATAACCTTCTTCACTCACCATGTGAGCACGGCCTTTTCTTCTTCCTTTTCCTCGGCCTTTTCCTTTTCTTGATTTGAAGAACCTTCGTCCTCCTCTGCCTTTTCCTTTTCCTTTTCTCTTTCCTTTACCTTTGCCTCGTCTGATGTATTTGCCTTGGAACCTTCTCTGATACCATGTGAAGTTGGCGTCATCATAAACCCAGAAAACATCTTCTAAGGCATCCAGGAATCCTTCTGCGCCGTCTTCTTCATCTTCGGCCCAATAGCCGTCGGTTCCTTCTAATTCACCTTCATCCAGTACGAGGAAAGATCTTCTCTGTGCCATGCCAGAGGGTTGCATCAATGGATTGTCAACTGCTGTTTTGGTAGTGCAAAACATTTCCAAAAACAGGTCACGTAGTTCTTGAATACTGTATCGATCGAGGGTTCGTCCACGATGTGTCATGATACTTGTGAGTGTGTTTCTCTGATCTTGACTCAGGTCAGCTAGACTTACAAAAATCAATGCTAGCAAATTTTCACCCAGTGGGAATGCTTGTCGCTGTGCTTCTCTACGATTTTCCTGAAATTGTCTGAATGCCGCTAGTGCCAGTTCATCTGTCCAAGGAACAGCTACATGGGGTGTTCCTGAGGCTGCTGCTACTTCAGCTCTCTCTTGTTGATCTCGTTCATGTTCTTGACGTCGTTGTTGAACAAACAGAATTGCTTCAGGACTAGTCACTGTTACTTCTGGAAGTAAATCCATCCAAGACTCAATAAGTCTATTGCCAGTGAGTTGAAATCTAGTCATCCACTTCTGAAGATCCATGGTTCCTCTGTTGAACTTCATGAACTGCATGAAACGGTATAAGAACACGTTCTGGGCACCTTTGATGAAATGAGGTCGTAGAAATCTTTTGAAATAAGCCACTCCTTCATAGGGATCCCTGAGTAATTCTCTATCCAATAGCCTCTTGTATTGTTGAGCATCTCCTTCCAGTCTGTTGCGCAATGCTGGACCACGTTTCTCTGGTTCTAACTCCGTAATGTCACACCAGTCATCAATTGCATCCTCAAAAGCAAAGAAGCTGGTTCGCCCATCATAGGCTGGAGCAACCTTTGTGGTCATCTGTTGCGTCATATGAATCTGTGTATGCTGGGGTGCTCTTCTCATTGCATAAGAGTCATATTGGTTCCATTCATTTGCATCGACAATGTCGAAGTCATCATCATCATAGCCATGGCTTGCCATTTCTTGGGCTCTACCTGGAGCTCACCCTCAATGAGGGATCACTGCTCCGCTACCACTTGAAGAGGGGCCCTAGCGTCTACTTCAAGATCAGCTAAGGCGTCTTCCCCAATGACAGCACTCTTTTACTCTCAGCCTGTTGCCGGTCAGTGCTTGTCTACAGGGTTACTCTATATACCTCTTGAGCCTTGAAGGGCGCATATAAATGTGCTCAATACTCATGCATGTACCTATGTAGGTATTAGGTCGAAACAAAAACAGGGGCCCCCCCCCTTTCGCGTGAAAAATCACGTGATGTCCTTGAGCAGCCCCCCCAATACTTGCTAAAGCAAGAAGACTCCAGCTAGCTGACGCTAGCTTTCGTGATTAAACCCATCCAACTATATTTGTTTCATCACCATGCACCCTAGCTAAGCTAGGCTTAGAAGAACCAACCTGGCGATTCCAAACCGAGTCACACATCAGTTTGTGGAATTGAAGTGACTGACCCAGCTTGAGGTTACCCATAGGATCCATGTATGCCATATATGGTAACATTTACCATCAATATACCCCCAATGTTAGCATATATACCATACATGGATCCTATGGGTTATGATACAAATATCGCTGCGACGCTGATATTGGATGGCTGATTTTTTTCACATTGGCGACCTCAATCACCATGTTCGTTGCTTCATTTCCATGAAAAACCTTAGATACTGCAAACATCCATGTAAAAAACCATGATGTTCCATGTTGCCTGTGGTTATTGTTCCAAATAACAACTATGGGAAATCACAATTTTTCATGGCCAAAATTGGCTAAATCATCATGTTTATCACCTATCGGCCATTCCTTCCATGGCTTCAAGGCCGATTGCGCTCTTTTTTTGGTGACCTCAACTCCGTTGCCAGGCAACCCATTCAAGGGACCTATACCCGTTTCCAGTTGCTGGAAACAAAATGATCATCCCGTTTATAACAGTTAAGGTAACAGTTAAGGGCCATAACTCAGGTTTTTTCATGTTTTTTAAAGCCCTTTTTTTCGTGATCACGTTGGTTCATAAACCCATTAATTATTACACACATCAGTTGTTGGTGTCACCTTTGTTCTGCTGCTTTCTCCAAGAGTCACAACCCAGGTAACTGACGCAACTGAAGGCGACAGTTCTGACCCAAAAAACAGTTATACATATATAACTGGAATGATAACTCCACTAAAAAATGACTCCTATCACCTATAATTCAGGTTATATCAATCATTATGATAATATGAACATTTATAAACCGGCTTCAAAAAAAACAGGAAATGTCGAAAAGGGCGGCCCAAACGATAACTAAGTTGGTTTTTATATATTAATAACTATAGGTTGACTATAATTTATGGTAGATTTTTCAAACTAGACAATGGCGTTCATTTCATGAAGCAACTTCACTATAACTGGGCACTGAAGGGGTCACATGGGGCCCACATTGTAGAAGTACACAACAAAATAATGACGTCAAAAATATGTTGTATAAACATAATAAATTTAACTGGTTCACAGTATTTGTTCAGGCATAATCACAGAATTTTGGTTTGTGGCTTTCCAAAATGTCAAGGTACTGGTACTATCTTTGACCATCCTTGTGAAGTACAGTCGCTCACCGCGCGCCTTTGGTGGCCGTTTCATCCGTCTCCACATTTGCACCTGCCCCAGGCGCCGATCTGCTGACATCCCCAAGTTTCACTGTCATATCTACAGCCATGACCCGAAATACCATCTGGTTATTTAACATAGCTATGGCAAATCCATTATAAATGGAGGTTTTAATGGGAAAATCATCTGTAAATGGGCAATTTTCCATAGCTATGTTAAATAACCAGAGGGTACCATTTATAAGTCAGTAAGTCACTCCATAGAATCGAATGATCACCCCATAGAAATCACCGTTTATAACTGGTAGCAGGGTTTAATTGTAAGGGGCAAATACCATTTTTTGAATGGGACAAATTGAGGTGTGTTCTATTTGCGGTTACCGACCAAGTACTAAGTGTGATGATCTTTCAAGTGGAACCACTTTTCCAGGGCTGAAGAAGCATTGGCAATGCTGCGTGCCGCTGACATAACTCCACTAACTCAAGGTTATGATAGATGTACCTACAGATATGTATAGTTACTATGGTGAGAATCCAATGTACAAACCATTGATGGTGTGATTATCTCAATTGTATCAGTTAAATCCCCATGAAAAAATCATTATCATCATGTATATATATATATATATAGTATAATCATTATAATTTTAAATTAGAATCATATATATATATAATAATATAATATATATTATATATATAACGAAATAATTATATGATAATATCTGATTATAATTTATCAAATATATCATAAACCAATATCATCATAATCATACCAAATCATCATATTCCCCATGATCTTCCCATGGCGGCGCCTGCGAATGCCGAGCGGGCCTCCACCACAACTTCGAGACCACCTGTTTTTTTGGGGTGGTGGAAGTCAGCGAGAAAATTCATTGGAATTCCACTGGAGATATCATGCTGGTTGGTGACTTGACATGACTTAAAATGACTTAAGCATCTTGAAAAATCATGGAGTTCGTCAATGGGGTTGGGATGACATCCCATATATGAAATGGAAAAGAAAAGTCATGATTGAAACCACCAACCAGAGTATTATTTATTATTAAACATCACTATATGTATTTTCCCATTGATTCCCACTATCATATATATGAAATGGAAAATAAAAGCCATGGTTGAAACCACCAAGCAGCATGGAGATATTATGAAGATATCATGCCCTATGGATCCATGGCACCTGTCAAGGTACGGTGATAAAACCCTCCGTAAATTTTGGTATACCCCAGTCCCACTTCCTTCCAGAAGCTACTGTACCTGGATCCATAGGGATGGAGATATCACGGATATTTTTGGTGGGAAAATAAATGGAGATCTTGAAATTTCGCTATGACATGGCATAAAAAAATAATGATGGAATATGATGGGCCCTGGAATATGGGTACAATGTGAGGCCCCCAAACGTGACGTGAACGTTGGTTTAGATTCGCCCCAGTAACTAGTTCGTTGCGTAGCATGTTTACCATAGTGAATAAACCATAGTGAAATTGGAGTTATGTGAACCCACCAACTGAACGCTATCCTGGCCGGGGGCCTCACATTGTAGACATTCTTGGAATGAGGATATAAGATGATATCAACTGGAGATTGAAGATCGCATGGGGGCATCTTCGCCAGCTGACTGGACCCTGAGGATCCACAATGTCTCCCAAAAAGATGCATTTGGTTGGTGGTTTTTCGCCTACCCCTCTGAAAAATGATGGAGTGAGTTCGTCAATTGGGGTTATTGTTCCCAATATATGGAAAAATCAAAATCATGCTCCAAAGCACCAACCAGAATGTGGTCACTCCCATATGTCGTCTTTGCATCATCCACCTTGATGAGCAAGCATGTTTGAAGTTCGCTCAGTTCTATTCTCTGGCAACATTGAAATGCAAATGAGAATCGGGCCCTACCCTCTGGTAAACGTTAACAACAAACTATGGAACATCACCATTTTTAATGGCTAAATCCACTATTTCAATGGCCATTTTCCATAGCAAACTGTTAGTTTACCAGAGGGTATGTTCAACATGACCCTCTCATCATCTTGATGTTGTCTTCTGACATCACGATGCTAGTCTTGATGTTGCCAATCCAATGGCGACCGGATGTGTTTCAATGCGCCCCATAGGCTATACCTTGGACTCCAGGCTCATAGCTCACATCTTTTGCCTCATGTGCCTTACATGGAGTATCATGGAATATGAAATGGAAATATCACGGGAATACAATGGGGATATATCCAATAGTGTAATGGGAATATAACTGGGAAACATGTTTTTTTTTGTGGAAGACCACAACTACTGAGACAATCATTGTTATGATGGGGAAATAAAGGAATATAGCCAACTAAAATGGGAATATAATAGGGATATGACCGACTGAAATGGGGATACAATGGGAATATAACTGGAGAACCCATTTCAGGAGAAACATTATATCATCAGTTTAATGATTGGACGTTAACTGGAGAAACATGCTTTCAGCGGGATATACTGGGAGTATATTGGGAATATAGCCGACTAAAATGGGGATATATTGGGAACAACATGGTGTATTTACAACAACATGGCTACTGGAAAATCACCATGTGTGGTGTTTACCCTCTGCCAAACGAACAGTTTGCTGTGGAAAATTTCATGATACCGATAAGACATGGGATGATGATGGGATGATAGCAATCAAATAGGACCTTTGACCTATTACCATCCAATAAGTTCAACGTTCAATTACCAGAGGGTAGAAGTAATGTTTGATAGGTATGTTGGAAAACATGTCATGGCTATCGTTAAATAGGTGCCATAAACCAAGTTATTTATCTTTCGGTCCCCATGTTGTGGGACCAAACCTGGGATAGGTACAGGGAAAAATGTGGATTTCGTCAGCAAACATGGAAATTCCAAGTGATTTAGCAAGCAAAATTGCGTGTGTTCTTCATATTTCTTCATAGCAAGTAGTTTGATGGGGATAGATCTTCAAGATCTGGGGAGATAGCGTGGAAAAACAGAGGATTATATAACACAGTACAACCAGCAGCCATGGTGTAAAGCGATTTCACCAGTAAACACGGGCTTATGATGGTTTATAACGTTAACCAGTAGGTAGATGGGCATGATGCGAACTGGCGAATGACCCATAAAAACAAGGCTTTACCACTGCTTGGTGGTATACACCTACCAACCCCTCTGAAAAATCATGGAGTGAAAGTCAGTTGGGATGATGAAATTCCCAACTGAATGGAAAGTCGTAAAATTCCATGGTTCCAAACCACCAACCAGACCATGATTTGACCAGCAAAAATGGAGGGATGGCTTGGAGCGGTTGGTCTTCGGGAGTTACACTGGTGCACCAGCAGTACCAGAAGCAGCTCCATCAGCGGGGAAACGAATTAAGCCCACTTACTTTAATGGGAATTTCAGGATCCTAAAATGGAGGTACTGCACCATATAAGACCATAGTTTACGGGGATATTCCCTTACATAGGCTACATATATATATATATATATATGGTAGGTACCTCCAATTTAGGTTCCTGAAATGGCCATTATGACCATTGATTCCAATTGAAATGGCAATCTTCATATAGGCCCATTGTGGGCAAACATGGGCCTAACCATAAACAACCAATAGGTTGACAATATTGGAGGCCAAGAAAATCGAGTGATTAGCTATGGAAAACCCCATTGTTTCGTGGTACCTATCCCATTCTATAGTAGATTCATTGAAGATACCCTCTGGTAAACGTTTACATAACTATGGAAAATCACCATTTTAAATGGGTAAATCCACTATAAATGGTCATTTTCAATAGCTATGTTAGTTTACCAGAGGGTACTCATCTCTCATTTCTATGTCTATCATTGCCCCATTCAGATGGCCCATTCAATCTTCAATGTTGATCATTTGAAGGCACATTGTTCCCTGTGGTTAACGTTCGTAACCCCCTTATTTCTTGGTAATTCATCTTTCTTCTAAATCCGATCATATGGAGGTTTCCTGAAATAGTGGTACCACCAAATATCAAATCATCAATTTTAATGGTATGTTCCATTATAAACCACCCATTTTGGGGTACCCCCATTTGTGGAACCCCCCAAATAATAGTAGCATTATTGAAGATGACATATGTATTTATTTCTATCATTGCCCTTCCATTTCTCCTGCGAAGCCATACTTAGATATACTTAGATGGTCCATGGGAAAAGCAAAACTCGTTAGCAACTGGGTCATAAACCACGAACTATATATCCCAATTCTCATCCATTAAGCAGAGTACTTCACTCACTCCTATAACTAGTTGGTTATATATCATCATAAACCATAAAACCCATCAAACCCATGAAAAAGCCATTAAACCCGCATAAAACCAATGGAAAACCCATGAAAAATCACTGTTCCCTGGGCCAAGTGCAGAGATTTCCCCCCTCCGCAGCCCTTCGGCACCTTCCAGCAGCTTCTCCGGCACCGCGGGCGCCTCGGGGTCCCCGGCCTTCGGGTCGGGCGGCGGCACGGCCCAGAGCGCATTGGGATCGTCGCTGGGCGCGTCGGGCTTCAGGCGGCGAAAGGCCAAGGTTCCTGGGACGAAAGGCATGGATGCCCTGGGAGTCAGGACTAAGGAAAAAAGGCTGACGGCTGAATTTTGAGGCCGACTTAGTATCATGAAGATTCATGAAGTATAAGTCAGTTTTGGACATGGGATGAAATACTTCCTGTAACTGGTGGGTGATATCACTTCAATGGGGTTTTGTGAGCCAGTTATAAGTGTTTTGGGCCGTAAGTGTAAAGGCTAGCTATTTCAAATCATTTTGATATGTAAGAGATGTTGGAAGATAGATGAATGCTTGGAAACAAGGACCCCGCGGCGCCGCGGATGGAAAATGAGACGGTCGAAAGGACTGGAGGGGTTCTCAGGGCCTTTTCATGCCTTTACTGGGTTGGCATCGGGTAGACAGCGACTCTTCTGGAAAATGGCCCATTTATAGATGATTTGTGATGATTTACCTATTCAAAATGGTGGTTTTCTATAGCAAACGGTTAAATAACCAGAGGCTAACCAAATGCGAACGTTATTCTCCGCTGCTTGCGGCACGAAAAGCTCAGAGTTTTCAGAGACGCTGCGTTCCGCGGATTCAGTTCCGCTATGGCTGGATTGGTCCGTGTCGCTGTGCATGTCAAGAGGAAATCATATATGAAATCATATGAAGTCATGGACTTCACAGCAGTATCAGAGATACCGAGTTTTGCTAGGACACGGGAAATTGTAAGGTCTGCTTCATCTTCAAACAAGATTGGAACTGTCAAGTCGGAGGCAAAGAGTCCAAGGGTAATTCACCAGTATCCATAGTAAAACAGCGATGGTTGCAACGGTTTGACATGATGTTCAATGTTTAACATGCGTCCTCTGACATGAGGCTTGAATGAAGAACATTGAACATGAAACCAATACCAAGTCAAACCCCGTGACACTCGTCACTGTTTCACTTGAAGCTAAGATACAAAACAGCAACACACTCAAAAAATGAAATGGTCATGCCTGGATTCACTCATCAAGATTCGTTTTTAATGGTCCTTTATGCATAAAATGTCATCCTGCTGTCACATGAGTTACATCGGAACTAGAACTGCTTCGCCAGTCAATGACAAATCATGTTGTCCAGTAGTGTCTTATAACCGCAAATATAGCATCTGGTTATTTAACAGTTCGCCATGGAAAATCCCGTAAATAAATCGAGGTTTAGTTCGCTGGGAAAATCATCTATTTCGATTAGGACCATCTATACCATGGCAAACTCTTAGTCATAACCAGAGGGTAGCTGGAATATACCAGTATATACAACCTAGGGTTGCACAAGTTGCACTTCTTCATCCCATCCCCAAAGAAACTGACTTTCTACCCCAATCTTTGGGTACTGAACCAGGGTCGTTAGGGGAGTATTCAATATGGGGAGGAAGTAGCCATCGGATTGTCTAATCAAATCACATCAGAACAATATGCCATCAATCAACCCGTAACTCATTCACTTTAGATATAGATCATATCAATCCACAATTCCACTTGAAAAATCCAACCGTCATTACATATTAATATACATTAATATACATTATCATATAATTATCATCCTCAAGTCTAACTAACTTTTCAACACCATCAACACTTCCCGTTAATTACAACACACCTTACAACCATGGCCAACCGATCCAAAAAACAAAACCCAGCCATCGCCACATCCCGTGGCGTCGTCCCGTCGTCCCGTCGTCCCGTGCCTGCATGAATCAACAAGCCAAAGATGGCGATGAACAGCGAAATGAAGATCATCCCACTGAGGTCACCTGTCGAAGTCGAAGGTGCCAGCGGTGGTGAAGGGCTTCGTGGCGAGATTTTGGCTGGAGAAATGGGAATGTTGAGGAATTTTGAAGCGAACGATGGAGAGTTTCACGGTGAAAACAATTGCTGGATGATGACTAAATTGGTGGATAACTAAACGATGGTTTATGGTGATGAAACAAATATCGGAGTGGTTTATAAACCCCAACTTGTTCTAGGGGGGTCACCTTGTAGATTTCGTTTCACAGGTTTAGATATGTTTGATATCCTATGGTAAAGCACATCGGTTCTCTGGAAATTATGCTCCCATACATATTACATAACCACATGGTGACCATTTCCTACACTAATCTACACTAGGTACTGTAGTTTCAGGGGATTTTAATCACCCTAATCATCCGTAGAAAGAGCAATCCTATAAATGTTATTGGGGAATCTAACACTGCTCATGGCATGGGGGATTAAAAAATGAAAGTGATCTTGGGGCTGTTTCTGACACCATGGATAGGTATATGGTTCAGTCAGAGATGATACAGAACGAGATTATACAAGGTGGTGCCAGTTATCGGATCATAAACCCACGTGACATCACCCAGCAGTCGTAACCATCATGACCATTAGCCCAGTTATAATCCAACTTGGAGGCTTTGGGGGATCACCTTCCACTGGGAATAGATGGGAATAGTAATTTCCGTCTTCCAAGGATTGTGCCAACTGGGGCGCGGGGCCGGGCCTGCAATCTACTGCGGGAATCTCTGAAAAAAACCAGCCTTCCTACAATGGCAACCTGACAACCTCAATGCACCATTTTTCATCAAGTGACTGATCATTCTCAGGTTGTTTTGTGTCACATTTCGCTGAGAGCCTTTGATCATGTTTCATCGAAAATTGGAAAGGCCACCACCTTTGGATTGGGAAAACCGCCCTGGTCTGGCCCGATCTCCAACACTTCCAGCAGGCCCAGGCCATGGTTAATCTTGCCCTGCAAAATTTGCACTTTCGCAGTGCAGAAGGAGGATGTGTTTTTTTCATTTGTGGCTCATATATGCTCATATAACCCATGAAAATTTACCACCAGCTGGCTACTTGGGAGTGCAGTTCCAGTTGTGACCCAGGGGTCGAAACATGACTCCCACAGAAAAGCTTGGTTTATCATGATAGAGAACCCCCCCAACCATAGTGACTAGTAGGGGTCCCATATGCCAAACATGGGGGCTTAGTTCAAGATGGTGTTCTAGCCATGCTCTTCACTGCTCCAGTCAGATCCCATTGTTGATTGTCCATGTCATATATGGGATACCCTCTGGTAAACTAACATAGCGAACTAGAAAATCACCATTTTTAATTGGAAAATCCACTATTTCTATGGTCATTTTCAATAGCTACGTTAAATTACCAGGGTAATCCTTCCCATTGACGAAGTCATATTTTTCAAGATGGTTGAAACCACCAATCAGCCCGAGTCGTGCGCCTAGATTTAGACCTTCTTCTTCTGTTCGGTCTTCTGCCACACATTTCGAGCTGGGGAACCTTCAGCAAAACGCTGCGTTCGGAGCCCCAAACGTTGCGATTCTTTTAAAACGGCACGCTCATCGAACAGTACACATCCGCCATGGTTCTTATAGCGCAGATATCAATAAAATTAGCAAGCTATGTTAAACTATAGGGAGATGTTGCAGCAAATCTCTAGATGAGTTTGTCTGAAAGTAGGATACTCCCAATTTTTGCATGTTCTTGCATGGTAACAAAAAAATGCGGTGGCACATAGTCTGGTGAAATCCATATAAATCCAAACAAATTCATAGGTTCGCCGGAAAAAAAAAGGTAAACCCTAAAATCCAATGGTTTACCATCTTCCCTATTTTCAAATTACTATTTTCCGGCCCCCGTTTTCAGACAGCCCCTTTTTGAATCGTAAACGGGACCCCCACATGTTACAGGTATGGCCTTTGACAATTACAACTGGCTTATGTATATCACTGAAGTATACTTAAGTGATACAACCAACCATAAATCAACTGTTAAGGGCCATAACTGTAAAACGCCCAGAAACGAATGCTGATTGGCCTCGATGTTTCGTGCATAAGCACCACCTTTAGGGGTGATGCGCGGGCTCGAGGCGTATCACATGTGCCATGGTTAAAATATGGGTTCCATCCGTTTTAATATGGCTTGATATGGGTTTATAATGGTTTATCACCAACTGGAAATTGGAATTTTAATCAACCCAAAAAAATGACCATGACACACATGGCTTTCACTGACATATCAAGATGGAACCCAGAAAAAAGGATTGTTTCACCGACAAAAATGACTTAAAAATGACTGCCTTGGAGTGATTTCATTAGGATTCAAGCAAGGGTTGACCGAGATTTCAGGGTTGTTCTCCGGCCACCCAGATACGTTTGGAAGAATGGAGAGGTAAACAACCTTCCACCAACAGTGGCTAGTCACCTAAACTGGATTGAGGCAACCCTGAAAAATGGCAGTTTTACCCATGAAAATATGAGGATGTGACCAAGAGGGGAAAGCCCAGCTCGGTCTTTTGGTGGGATTTCTCTGACTTGGGTGGAACATAACCATCATGGTAAGTTGTTGGATCGTGTTTCCGTGTTTTCCAATCAATTCCCCAAATATGTCCCTATGATTCCAGATAAAATCAATGTTGGATCGACTGAATCATCGACTCAACGTCAAGTCACTGGTCTGGGATTTGATGAAAGCCCAAGAGACCTTGGGCGATGGACCACGAAAAACTGACCGCCTGAAATAAATCAGAGTCATGAAGAGTCTACTTAATAAGTAAGATTCAAGGTATTTGGATGCATTTCCAAATCATTTGGTCATGATGACTGAAGCATATATCTACTTCTTTGTTTTTCGAAGATGATCGAAGAGTCTACGGAAATCACGCAAACATGAAAAGGCAAAACTTTATCTAGATGAGTGGACCCAGTTCAGGCACCAAAATACCATGACCACCAACTGTGGCTTTCAATGCACGAATTTATATGATTTTATGAGATATACCTGAATGCTGAAGCAGAACATCTAAGCTAGGTATTTGAGGCTTCATATTTTATGAAAAATATCATGTTGTTGTGGCAATTCCCCTACTTTATTCCCAATTGAACATACCCCAAATATCATGATCATTGCCGTCTGGAGGGTGATCAAAAACGCATGACATATGTGAAAAACCCACCATTTGTAGATCAATTTCTTAGGTTTGCCCTAGGGAAATCTGGGCGTGTTCGGCACACTGACGTCTACCCCACGTGGTTGCCTCACTATTTCTGACGCTGAGTCAAAAAGCGCCGAGTCTCTTGCATGTTTACATGGTCATTTTTTGATAGTCCACAAAACAAATATGTTGGTGGTTGGCTGGTTATGTTCCATTGATAGCAAAAAACTAAAGGACTAAACTGACTAAACCACCCATCCAAGGTGCAAATCCCAAAAAAACCGTTTCAGACTCTGCGCTTACCTACATACCTACACGGACCCAAGGTGGGGACCCCCAAGGGATAAGTTAGCCATCGATCTCGGACCTGGAGGTGCCATCGAAAAATCATCCAGGACATGGAATCATGTGACAACTCAGCCATCAATTTCCCATGGGATCTGGCGTAAAAAAAACATGTTATAAAGGATTTGCACTTGATCATGGGTCAAAAGCATTTGATTTGGGATAGGGTTTGGGATGTGAAGAGTACAAAGTCAAATCTATATCTCCATATACAGTATATATATATGTATATTATGCACCTATCGTTCTATTTCTTCATGAACACCCATTGACATTGAATTTAGATATTGTAGATATATCCAGATATACCGATATATGTGTATACATATATATATATATATCCATATAGATCCATATAACCGTGATATATGTATATACCTGTATGCACCCATGTATAAATAGATAAACACATAAATTATATCATATATATATCATATATATATGGCCATGCACGCCCATGTCCATGTATCTATACAAATATACACCCATACTTTATACTAAACATATATGCACCCCCAAATCTGGCCACAGCGCCGCTTCTGGGCCACCACTTTCGCGGGCCACTGCTGCAGTGGCTGCACAATGATGGCCAAGCTCACTGTGGGCAAGGTGTTCCGTTTCTACCCAGACCCATTTTGTTTTGGGCAGCATTGACCTGCCTTTTTCATTTCACACCCCAACAAAAACATAGTCATGTCAATAAGATCGCCCAACACCTTTTGACGAACTGAAAGAGCAAAGATACCGACACAACAGTGAGTAGCGCACTCACGAATTAAATGAGAGCCATGACAAGGATACCAACAACAACCGCCACTAGAACAAGGAGAACAGCAACAACCAAAGAACACAAGAATATATCACTGAAATATTTGCGCTCAGAAACTTGTAATTAAAGCAAAAATATATGTTGTTTTTTTCCGGACATTGATTTGGGGTCAGAAAATGGAAAATTTCTGAAGGTTTCAGCCGAAACCTTCGGAAATCTGTGATGTTTTGGAACCGAAATCAATGCCCCGAAAAAAAAAACACATTTTTCATTTTTTGGTGCAGAAGTCAAAGTGTGAAATCCAACAAGAAAGATCTGAAGGTTTCTATTGAAATCTTTTGAAATTCCCAGGGATGATGCATGGCCAGCAGAAGTACCATTGGAGATTCAATATCCAGACTTCTGCTGGACATCTAAGAAACCTAGGAATTTAGAACATGTTCAGCTGAAACAGGCAGAAGTCTTCACAGCAAAATCATTGACTTCTGCAGGGAGGCATGTTTCAGATGCTTTTACATCAAATCCTATCGTGTTGTGATTGCCATGGATCACGGTGAGTTGTCCGACCTTGACTGGAATCCTCGCATATACTTCACAAACAAGTTGTCGAGTCTACACTGTAAATATTGGGTTTTGTTTGAGTGACCGGAAGTTCTATGATGTATATCTTTGATTCCATGATATTTTGTGATCAAATCCCATGAAACAGTGTTAGTGGCGGTTGTTGTTGGTATCCTTGTCATGGCTCTCATTTAATTGGTGAGTGCACTACTCACTGTTGTGTCGGTATCTTTGCCCTTTCAGTTCGTCAAAAGGTGTTGGGCGATCTTATTGACAAGACTATGTTTTTGTTGGGGTGTGAAATGAAAAAGGCCGGTCAATTCTGCCCAAAACAATATGGGTCTGGGTAGAAACGGAATACCTTGCCCACAGTTTGCCAATTCTGCCAAGCAGCGCTGGAGCTTGGCCATCATTGTGCAGCCACTGCAGCAGTGGCCCGCGAAAGTGGTGGCCCAGAAGCGGCGCTGTGGCCAGATTTGGGGGTACATATATGTTTAGTATAAATTATGGGTGTATATTTGTATAGATACATGGACATGGGCGTGCATGGCCATATATATATATACATATATATATGATATATATGATATAATTTATGTGTTTATCTATTTATACATGGGTGCATACAGGTATACACATATATCACGGTTATATGGATCTATATGGATATATATATATATATGTATACACATATATCGGTATATCTGGATATATCTACAATATCTAAATGCGATGTCAATGGGTTTTCATGAAGAAACAGAACGATAGGTGCATAATATATATATATATACACTGAAAATGGAGATATAGATTTGACTTTGTACTTTTCACATCCCAAACCCTACCCCGAATCAAATGCTTTTGACCCATGATCAAGTGCAAATCCTTTATAACTTACTGTTTCCCTTGGCCTCTTTCTGTGTTAGGGGACATGGCTACCCAGGATCTATTTATAGAATCCCAGGATCTATTTATAGAATACCCAGTGTTATCACTTATAACCTCTATATAACTATGGTTGTCCTGGAACTCCTGGAATTCCGATGCCAAAGAGATGGGATGCCCGTTTTTTGCCAAAAGTTTGCCTCAAGTTTCTTATGTGAAATCACCATGTCAAAGATAACTAAATAATCTACTTTCATCGACCAAGTTCATGCATGTTCCATAGAAGTCTTAGTTCATTGGAGGGAATGGGTCCCACTTTGGATCCATGGCTTTACATATCTAGCTGGGTATAAATAGTTTGGGTTGGTTAATCGGGTATGAACTTGGGATTTTTACACCCATAAATTGGGATATAACGTGTATAATCCCCATAGATAGGGTTATATGTAACCACTTAATTAGTTCACTGGAACTGCACTCATAAATCCATCCCAAGAAATACGTGATGATCCAGAGTATTGATAGACCAGAATTTAATAGTAACAATGGGACATTCACTAGCTATTTTTGCCCTCTGATAATCTAACGTAGCTGTGGAAAATCCACAATGTTTAAGTTCGGTAAATCATCATAAATAATCAAACTAAATGCACCATGACTTCCATATGGGGTTTTCTTAAAATGAGACAATCTTCCAAAAAGCATAGGTTTCAATCTTACATCATGGTCATCCATGACTTGGATGATTTGGGGGTACCCCCTGACTGAAGAAACTTCAACCATTAATCCCTTCCCCCTATTACTAAACGCTCCCCCCCGTCCTCCCCAAATAATAAACACCTGGAGGAGTTTTTAGTATCAGGGGGTACTTAGTATTGGGGCTAAATTAAAAACCTTGATATATATTTTTCTATTTCAAAATCAATTAGATTTCCCTTTAACATCTAATTAAGTATTGCCAAAAATTGGATTTCGAAGTTTTCCCCTAATATTAAATCAAAAACCCATAATATAAAAAACTAGTTTTTTCTATTTCAAAATCGATTTGATTTCCTTTTAAAATCTATGATAAAAATATTGCCAAAAATTGGATTTCGAAGCTTTCCCGTAATATTAAAGTAAAAACCTCAATATATATATATATATATATGTTTTTTTCGACCTTAAACGAGGCACCCTAATAAGAAAACACCCCGGGGTTGACTAGTTTTTAGTATTAGGGGATAAAACACTGAAATGGGTCCTTCATTTTTAATTTGTTTTCGAAAGGAGATCAATCCAAAATCAGACCAGTCTGAAATTTCCCCAAATTTCACGCGGACCCTAGTTTTGTATTTGGGGTACGTTTAGCAAAAGGGGAGATTCTTAACCACTGTTAACCTCCAGCATATGTTACCCTCTGGTAAACGTTAATACAAAAAACTATGGAAAATCACCATTATTCATGGGAAAATCCACTATTTCTATGGCCATTTTCAATAGCTATGTTAAATTTCCAGAGGAAATTTATGTTTTTCCCGTTAAAACCTCCATGACTATGTGGATTTACCCATTGAAAATGGTGATTTTCAACAGCTATGTTAGTTTACCAGAGGGTAAACGACCTGGCCACCTTTTCTCGCCCGCCGATGGCCGTCCCGGGAAAAAAATGTCCCAGCCGCGGGATGCGCGATCTTGGTGCGAACGGGAAAGGACCTCAGAGTTCTGCGCCATAGAAACGCTACAATGTGGCCCCCCCAGTGATGTTTGTTGGTTAACAAAAGCCCCAGTAACTATAGTTATTTGCGTACCATAAACCATAGTTAGTGGAGTTATAAACCAACTTAGCTATCTTGGGGGCCTCACATTGTATGCATAAGAGGGATATAACATGACTGGTTGGTAATACCCTCTGGTTATGACTAACATAGCCATGGGAAATGGCCCATAGAAATAGATGGTTTACCTATTAATAGCATGGTGATTTTCCATGGCGATGTTAAATAACCAGAAGGTATATGATAATAATGACTTATAATGGCTAATAATGGTTAATAATGGCTAATAATGGTTAATAATGGTTAATAATGGTTGATAATGGTTCATAATGGTTAATAATGGTATAATCATCTATAACGGTATATACAGACTCTGGACATTTGACATAGCTATTGAACAATTCTGATTTATGGTCGATCTACCCATTCAAATGGTGATTTTCCACAGTCATGTTAGTTTACAAGAGGGTAACTGGGATAATGATATAATGATATAACTGGGATAATGATATACTGGTGTGTCATCTATAAAAGCATATTTATATCATGAGAATATTTATAGATGGTGTATATTATCATATATATATATGGTATATAACTAGGACAATGATATCATATGATATCATGCCCTATGGATCCAGTCGTACCTTCTGAAAGGAAGTGGGACTGGGGTATTCTTTTTACTATAATTTGGAGGGTTAACCATGTTTAGCCGTACCTTCTCAGACAGTGGCCATGGATCCATAGGGATGCTATTATCATCTATAACTGGGTAAATTATAATACTTCACTAACCTGAATAGTTCGGCCTTTTACCTTCATCAAGAGGGCCCCCCCCTGCCGAAGCGAAGAGGAACCCACGGCTCCACAAGCGGATCTGCTGATATTCAGCTGATCATGTCAATTAATTATCTTCCAGCTCCTTCCTCTTCTGCCGGACCAGCCTCATGATAGACTTTGCAAGCCTGATGTGTGAATGATGGGATCAATGCACAACGTCTTAATCCCATAGGCATCAAGTGACCCTGATAAATGCCCAGGGGCGCTGCCAATAATGAGAATGACTCGATGAGCTCTGTCTTCAAGCCTATCGACACTCTCATTAAGTACTTGCGCTAACTCGCGAAGCTTTTCGCCTGCTGGCAGTTCGTCTGCTATTGAAAGATCAACTTCGCCGAAGCTTTCGGCTGCCTCGGTCAATAGGCTGTATGATCTTTCAGGCATTGCGCCAAGACCAATGTCATCAAGCAGGTTGTCGTATGTCGTCCTTCTGCCATTTGGGGATGATTCCCCTTACTAACCACGATTCCAGGGTTCGGGAGAACAGGGTTCGGTCGTGATGAAATTTACCCAGATATATCCCCATTGTTGATGGTTGAACAGTTGAATTCCACTAGATCCCATGAAAAACCATCACTAGTAACTATATATATATAATTTACCCAGCTAAGTTTCACTATGGTTTCTTATCATCTACAACGGGGGTATTTTTCGGGGGTGTTTTTTTTCGTCAGCTTGTGCAGATAAGGAGCAAGGGGATGGACCAAATGAGATCCCCAGCTTTCACCAGGTGGCAATCCACGCGAGTGCTTCCTTGGCGTCGCCAGGTGGCTACAAGGTGGTGCCCAAAAATTGCTTCATTGGTTCATTAACCCAAAAAGAACATCCATGAACTAAAATAGTGAAAATTTCGGTTGGTGAAATAGGTTGAACATTTCACTAAAAGTTATAAGGTTGGTTGATGGAACCATCAACTTTGAGTGAAATTCCAGTGATGTTTACTGGTTGGTGGTAGAGCCCTACCCCTCTGAAAAAAAATATGAAAGTAAAAGTCAATTGGGATGATGAAATTTCCAACTGAATGGAACAAATGACAAAAATCATGTTGCAGTCACCACCTAAACCAGGAATTCCATTATATGGTGATATTTCAGTGATATATCTATAGTTGCTATGGTTTATTAATGTTTATTAATGTTTATTGTGTTTATTATATGTTTATATCCACCCTGTGGGTCTCAGCTCAGAATGGCCGTCATGGCCGCCATGTCGCCTCGATGATCGCTGTGGCAGCGGCCCTCTGCATCTGTAATACCTCGCTTCGTGGGAAAAAGCCCAAGCCCATTGGGTTTAAGGTACATATTAAATATGTGTATGTATATATATATATACATATATATATATATGTATATATATATATAATTATATATATATGATAAACTAATATAAATGAATAAATAAGAGAAAATAACAACAAAACACAATCTGTTTTGCTCCACCTCATGAGCAACTGAAGATGCAAATCAATTTGCTCCGATGCTCTGTGCACCAGCAGGCCCTCATCATTGACGTATGTTGTGCAGGTTTTCAAGCGTCCCTGTTCCATGTTCCCTAGTTCTAAACCCCAGTATGTTGTATTCGCCCACTTCGATAAGGAAATGAGGCAGCACCTTATTTAGGGGCCGGTCAGCCGTACTTGGAAGTGCAGTTCTAGTTGTAAGTGGATTGTACAATGTGGTACCCCCCCAGTTATAAGTTAGTTTATAACCCCCATCAACTATAGATATATCTACCATAAGTCCTACTTATTGTAGTTATAAACCAACTTAGCTATCCAACGGGGGCACCACTATGTAGAACCTTACAAGGTGGTGCCCCAGTTCGGAATCGCTGCCTTATGAGTCCACACTTTCACTCGGGTTTACGGTCGATATATCTACCATGCGCAGTCATGTTTGTTGGTTTATAAACTATATGGTTTATCTATAGGATATATGGTTTATATACTATATGTTTATATACTATATGTTTATATACTATAGTGTTTCTATAGGATTCTATAGGTATATCTGCCACACACACAGACCTATAAACCATATAAAATTTCACCAAGTTAATTACACTGCGCGGCTCCTCTAACATTTTGGGGCACCAACAAACAGACCCGAACAACAACTTGGATTTGCTTAAGGGGTCCCCCCAAAAAAAAGATATTCACTTAATCGATTCCGCAGTCATGGTGGATTTTCCATTGGAAAAAGAAAACAACACCTTAAACAAAGCCATGTGTACCTTCTGGTCATTTTACATAGCTATTGAACATGGCCTATTTATAATTGATTTACCCAACTTAAAGATGGTGATTAAACAAACCCAAGACAATTCTCCGACTTCGGAGCAAGTTTCTACCACTGGCGACTTCGGCGCAATCCTTATCCTTGATCTGTCCGGCATAGAGCTGATCGATCAGATCCTAGATTGGGCCAAGCCACCAATAGAGGCCATGGGGTGAGCCATATATAACTCAACTGGTTGGTGAAAGTTCTGTCACTTAGAGCTTCTTCAGGCAGTTTTAGATTGAGGATGATCCATTATGGCAACATGTGGGTGTATAAATGCGTATTAGCAACTCAAATTGGGATTTGAATCGACCAATGCGCATGGACTATGCCATTGAATGGTCAAGTTACATAGTATGTAAATGTATGTAACCCCAATGATAGGGATATTGATTGCAAAAAACACACACACAATTTTATAAACACATATAATGGGATATGACGTTGATAAACAAATATATGTATATATATATATATATCATCAGAAATCCGGCGGCCATCATCAAAGGCGGGGTCTTGCACCTCAATTTCACTCTGCGGAGTTGCTGCGTCCAGAAATGGCCGGCATGAAATATGAAGCAGTTTCAAATGGACGTGATAATTGATGATAATTGTGTGCCGTTTACCATTCTGACTACAAATCCATTACATCCGGGTAAAACTTAGCCTCTGGTAAACAAACATAGCTATTGAAAATGGCCATAGAAATAGTTGATTTACCGAGTAAAAATTGTGATTTTCCATAGTTTTTTGTAAACGTTTACCAGAGGATAGCAATTCACCAAGCCGAATGTTCCGGCCACTCATCTTCCCATCGCCCGCGCCAGCAGACGCGAACCGTTCTTTGATGACACTGTGATGAATGTGAAAGGCTGCCGCAAAGATCCACTATCCATTGATATCTCCATTGTAGTACTATGTTTGTTGGTTATTCTCTTAATCATTGATTTAACCGTTGGTTAACAATTGGTTGATCTTTCAACTTCAATCTATACCCCAGGGCAAACGTTTACATATAGATGTGGAAAAGCCATGTCATTTTTTTGGTCTGGGTCTCAAAATGATCATGATCTGAACATGGTGTTTTTTTCCACATCTACCCTCTGGTTATGTCAAAATAACTATTGAAGCCATGGCCATAGAAATAGTGAGTTTTCCTATTAATAGCATGGTGATTTTCCATAGTTTTTTGTTAACGTTTACCAGTTTTTAGGGGTATCATTCCAAAACGGGCCTCCCCCAGACTCGCCGGTTTACCGCTCCTGTGATAAGACCATCCCCTCACAGTTTCCCGCGTAGAAATTCCGAGGGCCAGCCATGTAGTCCGCATGCGGCACCTGGATTCTGCTGGATTCTGCTGCTGGATTCGGCTGGATTCGGCTGGATTTGTGAACGGACCACATGGAGGATCATCCCACGGATCGGCTGCTGGTTTTTAGGTGGTACAGTATAAACTGTGCTAAACGGCAAGTTCCAAACGTGTTTTTGTTCAAGCAGTTCAAGTTCCCCATTCGGGAGATTATGTCAGAAAATGAGTGAACTATCCCTATGGATCCACCAAGTACCTTCTCAAAAAAAAGTGGGACTGGGGTATAATTGACTATAACTTGGAGGGTTAGCCGTACCTTCTCAGACGGCCATGGATCCATAGGGATCCATAGGCCATGGTTACACAGCACTTATCCGTGGGATGATCCTTCACGTCCGGACCATGGTCAGAAGTCGCAAAATTGCTTGGGATTTCTGGGGCATTTCTGGGAGTACTTTAAGCAGACTTCAGGTTTTGGTGAGGTTGTTCAAAAGTTGCTATGGATAAATATATATATATATAATAATAATAATAATAATAATAATAATAATAATAATAATAATATATATATATATATCCAATCTACATATAGTATGCAGTATGCAGTAACTTTGCCCAAATCACAAAGGAATTTTAACACACCCAACTTGGAGGTACCGTCCATATGTTTCGGACCGTGTAAGGCTTGAATTTCAGGGAATCAATCCTGAAAATATGGCAGACAATATCAGGTCCTATCTTACATGTTTTTTCTCAGACATTCCTGAAACTGCAGTTTCAACCTAACTCAGGTCATATTATATACCTATACCGCCTATACCTTCCTATTAGTGGATCAGATTTGGTCAGTGATTCAGGCTGTAAAAGCATCTCCCTGGGATAGTTTTCTCTGTTCTGCTTTGTGGAAAACGACACAAACCGAATTGATAAATGGAAATGTTTATGTACTGTATGTATTTGCCGCCCTGTTATATGGGTTGAATTCGAACTCCTGGTGTAAGCATGGTATTCTCGCCATTTTAAGGTGGTCTATAGCAAAATATCTTCGATGGTTAGATTCTCTGGGCTTAGACAGCACCATATCTTCGAACGTGTCACAATCGCAGCGCGTTTAAAAAAGGTCACACATCTTGATCCATTTCTCATGGGATCGGTTGGATCGGAACATCTATAGGAAACCATGGGTTTTACCATGTTTTTTTTTTTTACCATGAAATATATATGGGGGTGTCTTTTACCATGAAATATTGGTTTTTACATCTATGGAAACAATGTTCGATTTTTACATCAATTATTATGAAATATTCCAATTCGAAAAACAATATTCCCCAACAAAAACCATTTACCACAATATGTTTATGTTTCATAATATTCTTTCCTATGGATTTCAGAATTTTTCCCTTCAACCAATCCAATGAAAATCGATGAAACCATCGGTCACAGGATCTCCAAGGCGCGAAGACCTTTCCAAAGACGGATTCGAAGGTTTCCACTAAGGCGCTTGGGGCGCAAATGCGATAGTCCTGGCACAACTTTCTGATGGTTTCCATGTTGTTCCAATAACGCAACTGCAACTGTTTGGTGATTATTCACATATATATATAATATTACTATTATATATATAATATTACTATTATATATACAATATTACTATTATATATATTTATATTATTTTATATTAATATCACTTACATTACATTGTGTTTTTTATATCACTTCACCGACATCGAAGATGTTCCGAGTTCCAAATTCTTGGACAGAGATCCGATTTCAGAGCTCCACATCTAGCTGGATCAACGGCATTTCACCTGGTGGTTTTCATCGTGGTGAAGCCCAAATTTCGGTTCAGCACAGGGTTTGAAGAAAACGACTGGAACACTCATGGTTTACCTAGCTGGTTGGTGGTTTTTCGCCCTACCCATCTTGAAAAATCATGGAGTGAAAGTCAGTTGGGATGATGACATTCCCAATATATGGGAAAATAAAATTCATGTTCCAAACCACCAACCACTCATTGTTGATATTCATCAATATAGAAACTGGATTAATCATGATGCGACTTGGTACAAGGTGAGGGCCCCCAGTTCTAAGTTTAAGTTCCTGAAATCCATCACAACGAGTTGGTTATATCCCCCACAAGCCCTAGTTGACGAGGCGGATATGTTAGTTTTGGTTCTTGCAATCCCTGTTGATGAGGCAGGTCCGTGCCCCTGGGATCAGGGCTTCATCTCGACCCATCTCATGGCCAAGTTTCACCCTATTTACAGCAAGATATACAAGACAAAACACAACAAAAAAACACACATTTTTCTGAATTCGTACTACATATTCAAGTCCTGAAGTACAATCTGGTCATCAAACGTGGCTTGAAACTCCCATAATTTTCCATGATGTTCCCACCTAGTCCTACCTTCATTTACTACGAGATTTCCATCCACATCCATCCAGCCATTTTGGAGAGATCCCATTGATTTCCCAATTCAAATCCCGTTGAAAATTACCATAAAATCCCATCAAATTTTCATGAAATTCCATTAAACCCCATTTAAAAAAACATGTAATTGTTAATGGGAATTTTCATGGAATTCCATGGTTGATCACATGAACTAATCTAATGGAATTTAATGGTTAATTAATTAATCACATCCAAGGTTGATCCAAAAAAAACTCTCCTGATCGATGGCTTCATAGATATCCTTCACCGCGCCCGCAGCATCACGCTGGATCACCAACATCGACGCAAGACCTGACGCGGTCACGAGGTCTTGGGAACCATGACCTCGTAATCGATATCGATTTTCAAATGGTAGATATGGTGTCTATATGGTAATATGGTATTATATTATACTGGTTGGTGGTGCAATAACCATCTTGAAAAATATTAGTTAATGGTAGTATGGTATTATGCCCTATGGATCCAAGTACCTTCTGAAAAGAAGTGTTTGGTTATATGGTGTTCTGGTTGGTGGTGCAATAACCATCTTGACAAATATGAGTTCGTCAGTCAGGATGATTATTCCAAATAAATGGAAAATAAATGAAAATAATAAAAAAAACAAAAACAAACCACCAACCAGGTGTTTATATGGTAATATAGTATTGTATTACATGAGCATATGAGCATAGATAGATAGTAATATGTTAATGATAATAGGTTATCATATGTTAATGATAATAGCTATTATATTATACTGGTTGGTGGTTTTAACCATTCTGGAAACATATGAGTTAATGGTAGTATGGTATCGTGCCCTATGGATCCAAGTACCTTATGAAAGGACGTGTTTGGTAATATGGTGTTCTGGTTGGTGGTGCAATAACCATTTTGAAAAATATGAGTTCGTCAGTCAGGATGATTATTCCCAATATATGGAAAAATAAAACATGTTCCAAACCACCAACCAGGTGTTTATATGGTAATATGGTATTATATTATATGAGCATATGAGCACAGATAGATAGTAATATGTTAATGATAATAGGCTATCATATGTTAATGATAATAGCTATTATATTTAGCAGTACTATGGCCTTAAAGTATGTTATATGGCATTATAACATATGGATTATACCATTTGGTATGTGATTATATGGTATATCATGAAAAATATCGATAATATGATTATATGGACTATCAATCATATGGTATAGGAAACACGGTAAGGTATTTGGACCTATCGTGGTAAAACCTTATCATATCCCTGTTACCTAATACCTTAATAATGGGAAAGTAAGCACGGTTGTGGTGATTTCATGGTGGCTTAATATGTTTTTGGTTATGGTGATTACCCTCTAGTAAATTAACGTAGACCCTGGCAGGTAGGGGTTGGAAGATTAGTTTCCATTAAAACTATGCTATGTTCAGGGTCTATGTTAATTTACCGGAGGGTACTAGTTCATTCATGGTATCTGACTGGTGATTAAGGGGGAATTAATGGTGATTTTACTGGGGACCAATGGTGATGGATATGCTGATGAATGGTGATTAACGACTGGTATGTCTAATATTAATGGGAAGTAATGGAAAAGAACTTTAGTGAAACCCGGGGGAGGTTTAGTGGCATGGGGAGTTCTTAAGAAAAGGAGAGTATGATGGGTGATCGGTATAAGGCTATCAAGCAGAAATGGGAAATAGGATGGATTACGACGGATGTAGGTTCTTCATGGATGATGGGTATAAGTTAAGGGCTCTTCACCAGAAGAGAAGCTTACAGGGGCAGCAATGTTGCAGTCTCAGTGCTACTGGCATTTGACAAAGTAGTTTTTTTTTGAAAAGGTTTCATAAAAAATCTAATCCAGTAAAACGTTTGAATAAAAACCATATTTCCTCTTAAAAACACAGAGGTACCACATCTTTACTCAGCCGGTTGCCCTCCCAAAATACTTTCCACTAAGACAGTTTATCAAGTGTTGCCACTGACTAAGACATTCCTCGATAACGAAGATTAGAATGAATCACATTCAATTCAAAATTGAATTTAGACGTTCCATGTTTACCCCAAGAAAAATAACTGTTTAAACTATACATAAAATAGTCAAGAGGTAAAATGTCAGAGGGACCAGGGTCAGAGTACCCTGGCTGGAGCCTGAAGATTGCTCATGCTCATGCTTAGGTGTTCTCAGAACACCTAAGCATGAATCCATGTTAGGGCACACCCTCCATCATGCCTAGGTAGAAGCCTTCCGGTGAGGTTTTGGAATATTATTCAAATACTATTCTTATGCATTTTTTTGATAATAGATTTTTTGAATTTCTATTAGCATATTTATTTTGGATGACCCCCCACCAACAAACATACATTCTAGTATTTTTGCTGACACAAAAAGCTGACATATATTCTGTAATTTTATCGCTAAAATTTGAATGTAGATCACCACCACTTACTCAGCCAATGCCTAGACTTTTATCTTTTTTCCTTGGGTCCGCCCCCCCCTACGTACCCCTAAACAAGCTTGTTGTGGTGGCGCACGGACCCAATGAAAAGGGTTTTAACTGTTTTCTAGGAGATCACTCATTGAGTAAGACCAACTAACATATATTCTAACCTTTTTTCTGACACAAAAATCTTACATGTATTCTGACATGATATTTCTTAAACTTTAATGTGGAGTACCACCACCCACCACCAACTGATATATATATATATTAAGACACTTAACATCTTGACTATTTTATGTAGTTTAAACAGTTATTTTTCTTGGGGTAAACATGGAACGTCTAAATTCAATTTTGAATTGAATGTGATTCATTCTAATCTTCGTTATCGAGGAATGTCTTAGTCAGTGGCAACACTTGATAAACTGTCTTAGTGGAAAGTATTTTGGGAGGGCAACCGGCTGCGTAAAGATGTGGTACCTCTGTGTTTTTAAGAGGAAATATGGTTTTTATTCAAACGTTTTACTGGATTAGATTTTTTTATGAAACCTTTTCAAAAAAAACTACTTTGTCAAATGCCAGTAGCACTGAGACTGCAACATTGCTGCCCCTGTAAGCTTCTCTTCTGGTGAAGAGCCCTTAACTTATACCCATCATCCATGAAGAACCTACATCCGTCGTAATCCATCCTATTTCCCATTTCTGCTTGATAGCCTTATACCGATCACCCATCATACTCTCCTTTTCTTAAGAACTCCCCATGCCACTAAACCTCCCCCGGGTTTCATTAAAGTTCTTTTGGAGAAAAAAACGAAAAAAGAAAAACAATCAATGTGTATTGATGTTGTCAAATATCAGAAAAAATGATTGATTGATTGATGGATGGATTGATTAAACTCTGTGAGCATCATACATTAGTGTTGTATTGAACACTTATAATCACTGAGAATTTATTATGGCTCACTATGGGACTATGGGTAGCTCAAATTCAGAAGGATTTGAGCGTGGTTTCTAGAAGCGTGAGTTGTGCCGATGATGATTGATGATTCACAATGCTTTGTTCTTGGATTAATTCAGATTGATGCTTTGGAACTGGGTGAAATAATATGCATAATACAATATGGGTTTGGCTGAAACTTGGGCACCAAATCTACCGGTTAATCATCAGCTTCTTTGACAATGGACATAAATTTATGGGGCATCCCGCAGTTTCAGACACATCCATTTCCTGTCAAGTTGGCTATAGGCTGTATATTTGATTATATATATATATATATCACCATAAAATAACCATCGTATCCATAAAATACTGATGAAGTAGCCAAACTATGTCAGTTATACCCACATATGTATGTATATATATATATATATATATCCACATGATTATATGTCCATGTTATGTCTCCATTGCACGATTAACTCAATTTATCAGTTATAACCCACTGATCCTCCATTTAGTTCCATGCTTTTCCCTAAGCGCGTTGATTACCAAAGGGTATCCCCACATTATCTGTATACGCTCATATATTGGCTGGTTTTTTTATCGCATTGAATCCCATTGAAGCCCACTCAATTGCCATGAAATCCCATTCAATTCCATGAAATTCCACATAATTCCACCAAAAAATGACCAGTTTGCTTGGAAACCAAGGTAGACCAATAGAAAACCATTCCACATCACCACATAAGCCCTGAACTAGACTCTCTAGACCCCGCCCAAAGACTGGCAGTGTAGCTGGCCAGTGCAACCAGAATGAAAAAAGCGAAGCTCCTGAGGCGCGGCTGCACCGCTTTTGGTCATGTACAATATGTATTGAGAAAGATCTGTCATCTAGATTCATGAGATTATGAGTATGTATATACACTATATCTTCTTATATTCCACATATATATATACACAGTACTATAAATAATAACACATAATACAAACAATTAAGTAATCTGATATAAATATAACTTGTGCTTATCTATACATCACAATTGTGATGCACTCATTTGAGATACTCGTGAAGTCCATCATTTGAGGTTTAACAAAGTCCAAACGGCTGTTTCATTAGGGAGGTACCGTTTAAGAAACAAACATGAACACTGGAAAAAGGGGTAACCCCTAATTTACAAACCAGGATGTGCTAATCCAGAGTTGACCTTATATATTTATGCACGTATAGAACAGAGAGGGAGAGAGAGTCATTCTGAAGTAGATAGAATATGGATCATCTAAGACAAGAATCACACTGAAGTGGAATATTGTTGAACAACTCCTTCCTCTATCTACATCAGGATGATTATAACAAGAGGAGGGTCCTAGAAAGATTCGGCTTCAAACAAATACTGCTTTCATACGTGGCCGTGCAAAACCTCCGAAAATACCAACTGCGTTGCCAAACCCAGATGCTCATGCTTCGCGCACAGAATAATTTGCCAACATCTACCCCAAAGTGACCCAAATGTCCGCTCAGAAATCCCATAGATGGAGCATTCTAGAGTGACTGTGAGAAACGGGATACAACGAAGATTTGCGTTATTTTGATAATAGGATACCCAAAATTCTATGGTTGAAGAACCTCATTTTCCCTTTTTTTAAACAGCCATCACAGGGGGGTAGAGGCTGGTAGAGGCCCAATGCATGTAAATCACCCACCTTAGCCTGCGAAACGTGCAGCAGCCAAGGTGCAAGTGAAGGAACTTGTAGACTGGGCCCTTCTCAACCTCTACGTTGCCTGGGATATGAGGAACGGCCTATTGACCTTTGATTCCAATTGACTTTCATACAGTTATGGCCGTTATGGCCGTTATGGCCCTTAAATTGTAAATGGCATATAATGGCATTACAACTCCTGTAAGCAAGGTTATATATCGCTTAAATGACCTCAAAACCATTTATAGCTGCTGCAGGCTATACCTGTACAAGTGTCCTTTCAATATTGATTGATTTGGATGGATTCCCCATTATAATCCCATATAATCGCCATGTAACCCCAATAATATCCTCTTACCTTCTGGTACTATAGCTACACAAAATTGATGAATATGGCCAATTTATAGATTAGTGTCAGAAAACCAAGGCCATAAACAGCTACCGTGACTGCGGATGATAGTTAATGGGGAGATCCCAATATCACCCAGTGATGTAGTGATTCTGTTGATGATTTATTGTTGGGTTTACGGTAAACCCAACAATCGACTATAACCTGTCACATATCCCCACTAAAACGAAATAATGTGCATTATTTCATTTCAGTGGAGGTATGTGACAGGTTATCGTCGTGTGGGTTTTCCCCAAAAATGTGTATCTGGTTGGTGGTTGATACCTATATACCCCTCTGAAAAATGATGGCGTTCGTCAGTTGGGATTATGAAATTCCCAATATATGGGAAAGTCATAAAATTCCATGGTTCCAAGTTCCAGTCACCAACAACCAGAATATGTAGATTCAACTGGGACATGATAAGAACCAATTGCAATTAGGGACAGCCTATCTTCAGACAAACCCCATATACAGTACGGGTAGGTGGTTGGGCCAGCCAACTTGAAAATGCAACCATTGGTGATCATCAACGGAAGCACTGAAATGTGACGACATGTTAAATCAGGAAAGTTAAACATGATTAGTGTTGAATTCCTGTCGCAAACAGCTATTTTCTATATATCAAACAATATTGAACCATTTTGTATATATCAGTGCCAATCTTAGATACCCTGCCAAAAAAAACTGGTGAACGTAGATAATCCGATTGATACCAAAAGACTAAAGGATTAAAGTACCCATCCAAGATTGACCTAGATACCTACTGGTTGGTGGTATACCTACCCCTCTGAAAAATCTAAGTTCGTTAGTTGGGCTTATGAAATTCCCAATATTTGGAAAACTATTGTAGTTCCAAACCACCAACTAGTCATGGTTGGCCCTGTGTGTTGGGGGTATAATTTACTATCATTTGGAGGGTTAGCCGTACCTTCTCAGACGGCCATGGATCCATAGGGTATGGTTAGATATCAACCAGATAATAGCTTGTCAACATTTCTGGTTTTACAGTATATCCCAGCAAACTATTATATATACTATATAATACATTATAATATTATGTTTGGGTCCATAGGGTACTTTTGTAATATCTTAAGGAGTCAATCTTGGGATCCACTCGTTGGAGTCCTCCAAACCCGGATGGTTTCCTCTCCTCCACGACTTGATGTCTGATGCTTGCCATGGACCGTGTTGTAACATTGGTTTATTAATAGTATTCAATCATCATGGTAATAGTGGTTAATAGTTGTTAACAATGGTTAATAGTGGTGAATAGTGGTGAATAGTGGCTAATATCCTCTTGTACTCAAACATGATTGATTTTCCCAGCGAACTATAACCTGATTTGGAGGTTTGTAGCTGGGAAAATCCATCAAACATGGTACGTACCATTTAGTTCGATAGATTTTCCGTTCGCGAACTAAACCTCCATTTTGGGTCCGGAACTTCTCTGGATCCCGTTGCCAGTCTCCAAAAGACAGTAGAGACCCCCCTCGAAGCAATGCCAAGCAGCCACCGCCCAAAAGGAAGTCGTGCCAAATTGCGAATTGGAACCTGATCCACCCTACCTGCAGTCGATCTGGCGCAGAGGGTAACATGGCTTTCCATGGAATAAACTCCATTATTAGATATCCATGTAAAACCCTGGTTTAGCGATGGATCTGTTCATCTTGGGTCCCTGATGGGTGGTATGGAAGTGTATCTAATATAATAAACGAGATGGGACTGATATCTAGACATATCTAGACTTTTGGACCCTGCCCATGTGTATGATCATCCGATGATCAAGTGGTAGCATTACTGGTAGGTCAAACTGCCCTGCAGGACACCTGAAATCTCCACCCCAAAGACATACAGTCGACTCAGAGAGAACGTAACGGCACAACACATCTGGGTAAATGGCAATATTTCGGGATAATCAGAATTGTACCCTCTGGTAAACATACAAAAAAACAATGTAAACTCACCATTTTGAATGGGTAAATCAACTATTTCTATGGCCATTTTCCATAGCAATGTTAAATTACCAGAGGGTATGTAATGGGTAATACCATCAGAGTAAGAACATATGTGAAATACACAGCAGGGTCATCATGGTAACAGCATGTGTTATATACATACCCAAACAATGGTACATAATCTGTGTAAACTACAATCTTTCACTAACCTGAAACCTGCGGCCATTTGGGCATGATTCCCCGAACTAGCCGTGATTCCAGGGTTCGGTTACAGTGAGGTCACTATAATTTACCCAGATATATTGGTAAGACAACCGGCCATCCGAAAAACCACACAAATTTCGCAAAACTGACAACAAGACTGACATTTATTTGGGAAAAAAACACCGATCCAAACACTGTCTGAGAAGGTACTTAACCCTCCAAATTATAGTAAATTATACCCCAAACACTTCCCAAGAAGGTACGACTGGATCCATAGGAAATAACAAGTGGGATGACTTCGCCACCCAAGTTGTGGAGTTTGCTCAGTTGGGAAACCGGGACCCAACCATGACTGGGACCCATGCTCGTCTTAGATACAGTGCAAAACGAAACACTCCCTACGGCAAATGAATGAAATCTATGATGCACTTGCAAACAAAAAATATCCAAAGTATTGTTCAAATCCTGATTTAAGGTAATAAAATCACCATGTTTTTTTCAATAGCATTCAATAGCTATTTTGCCAACCATCAAACATTCCATGCTCCTGTTGTGGGCTCCACGTCCAGTCCAAGTTGCAACACTCATATTGCAGCCCTCCCAGCCATTCTCCACCACATGAAGAATCCTGGGCGTTGGAAGCTGTTCATCTCCAAAAAAACACGAGGCATGGCTGAGTCGATGGTTCGCCAACTGACGTTGCAGGGCAGGTTTGAACATGGGACACGATTAGTGTCTTTTGCATGCCTGCCCTGTCCGGTCATGCATGATCATCGGCTGCATTTTTCTAGGACAAAAGATTGGAATCAACACTCCATACTATACATAATCCTTATGGCATCGCCGGTGTGCGAAGCTCTAGAATAATGATAACCAATAAACTTTCAAACATGATAAATAATAAACCTTCAAACTGTCCGTGCAACACAACTGCGGCTGCCTGCAGTTCACCTACAGTCATTACTTCTCTTTTGCTTTTCGCTAAGTCGCTCTCACCAACCTGCGGTGCAGTGTCTATTCTATCAACATTTTTCCTGCGCAATACCAGAAAGCATTCGTAGCATCAACTTTCGTCCATGTGTCCACTTCACATGGCGGTAACTTGTACTTCGTGCCACCACAACAGCTCAAGAAGATGCCTTTGACGATGGCGCGGCACCCCTTCTCTCCCTTTGACTTCATGTCATGTCAGCGAGCTCCTTTCTCGCAGCTTCTCAGAAAAGATCGTGTCCACCCAGTTTTTTTTTAAAAAAAATCTCTGTTGGAACAATTATTCACCTACATCAACACATTGTCATCCGAAACTATGTCTATATAATAGTTCCGGGAATCATTGCTCCATCGTAGGGCACAGTTGAGAACATGCACCACTAAAATGCCCCAGCTTTGTGGAATGAATGCATCATTCATACATACCGGTTGTACATGTATACACAATTCAATTGTACTCACTCTCACTCGCTATCTATATATATATATATATATATTCATTATAGATCAACAAATACTAGAGTATTTCATTAATTGCTATTATCACTACCATCATTTCCAATAAGTATATCATATGGTAAAACGTCATTCACCGCCATTCCATTCACCGACCATCACAGACAATCTCCCAATACATTATCCCGGGGGATCCCTGTTGGGGGTGGTGGATAGATTTCCCTACTATGGGTTATCAACAAATTATCTAGATGATCAATTGCAGTGTCAGGAACATAAATTAGAGATACCTACCATGTATAAGGCCTATTTTTTTAGGCCTATGTAAGAGAATATGGCCTGATATGGTATATTCTGGGTATTATGAGTTAAGTCCAAGTCAACAAATTCACTATGGGTATCTAAAAGACCCTGTATAACGAATAAATTAGGTAGTAAAGGTCAAGAAATTAACTCATCAAACAAAGTATGAGTATGTCAATTTTAATGGTTCCGGTGATGGACGATGGAAGCTCTAGCTTCATGGAGGATCATCCCATTTAGTAGATAATTGGACTACTATTACTTAGGAATTATAGTTGATTAGCCACCTAGATATAGTCGATTTACTGGTACTTTCAGGATCCTCAAATGGAGGTACGGTACCATAGTTTTGGCCATATTTTGTGGGAATATTCCCCCTACATAGGCCTAAAACATAGGCCTTATACATGGAATCGGTACCTCCAATAATTCGGTTCCTGAAATGACAATCGATTACACCCAGGATTCAGGGTTGGAAACTACCAGTACTATTGCTTTACTAACAATTACTTAACCATAATTTCCTATCATTAACCAATGAGTTAAGTATCATTAATTATAGTTATATACAGTTAGTTTTATACCTATATAAAATTAAAGATCATTAATTATATAGTTGTTTATATATATATGTATCATTAGTTCCCTAACTAATGACATTAATTATGAACTTGGAGTTTCATTTATATAAACCATCAAAGTTGAGAGGTTACTACCATCAAAGTTATTGGTTGCAAATTACTGTCAACATATTATGTATTTTAAATCACTTAGTCATCATTAACGACTTGATCCTCCAAGTTAGCCTGGTTGCTTTGGGGATCATAATGATCATATCTTCCAAGTTAACCAAAGTTATTGGTTATTCCAGTTAGTTGCCATTAAGTAACCACTAACTAAGTAAAGCGGTTATCACTAAGTTCTCTTTGCGAGCACTAAAAATATCATAAAACTAGTTATATATTCATAATTTAACTAACGTATCATCACTTGGTTGTCATTAACGTTCAGCTTACTTCGATCTTTCAGTCCTTGCTTCCTTCGCCAAGGGTCCACAGCACTGTGGCCATCGAACAAAGGAAGGCGCCAATGCCCAGCCAGCCATCTTCCTATGCGGCACCGTGCTTTACTTTACGCGTTGCGGGGGCACGATGCATCACGGTGCCCGTCGATGGAAACAGATTTAAGCATCAAGAATTGCGGAACATTTTTTGTGATTCAACGAGCGTAATATATCTGATGGAAATCCATGGTGATCAAACAATCAAAGATGGGGCTCATGGATTACATGGCCCTTGGATGACTGACTACCGGACTACTGACATGGTGAGGCTTAGAGGAAAAAATCATCATTGTTTAACCAAATGATATATCTGATATTAGATATCAAGACTTATATGTAATCAGTCATAATTGTAAAATATAATTCATGATTTCAATTTAGCGCAAATCGATGCATGGATGTGTATTTATTTCTTGATTTACATTGATTAACATGAAACATACGTGTGAAGGTAGGAAGTTGAACCCATGTTACCCCACGCTTACATATGATCCTAGGGTTAGCTTGTGCTCATGTGACCCATTTTTTAATTGCCAATATGAAAACATGGCTAAGTGAAAATAATACATAACCCATAGGATCCATGTATGGCATATATGCTAACATTTGGGGTATATTGATGGTAAATGTTACCATATATAGCATACATGGACCCTATGGGTAAGTTGGCTTACTAACAGGCTGCAATAGGGTCAAATGCTATATATGCTATATGAAACACCAGGCTGCTTGACATTTCTTCGACAGGCTGGGTCTGGGTGGTTCATTTTTCAAGGGAAATCACCAAAATCATAGCGAATTGCGACTAAAAAAACACCAGTGATTTCCTGTAAAAGCCTACAGGATCCAGTGGCTACAAGCGTCCTCGAAGGAACGGTACAACAACAAGTGAAACCACCAGTGTAGAACTAGGTTCCCTACCTTGCAGCTACGTCAGCTACGTTGGTTCTATATCCCATTGTATGCCATGATCCTATTCCCACATATATCCCGAAAACATACCATTGAATCATAAACCCTACAGTTGTGGCCCGAAATACCAGTTATCAGTCAGTAAAAGAAAAAATTGTATGGAATGAGAACCACATTCAGAACCATAAAAATAACTGGTTTCTAGGGCTTTGACTCTACCACTGAATGTGGGGATCATCATCTGATGATTGATGAGGTTTCTCGGTATTTCTGGAACAAACAACCGAAGATATTTTGGCCGGAGAGCAAATATGCAGATTATATGTATATTATGTACACCCAGTACTGTACCAGGAAATAAAACACTTTTCAGCTACCACCAAACTCTAACCTCTGCTAATCAAACATATCAATGTACATGTCAATGGACGTTGTTGATTTCAATGATTTTCCACTTGAAAACCACCATTGACATGTCCAAGTGGAAAATCATCTGATTGTTACAATGGTGGTTTTCAAGTGGAAAATCAGAAAATCATCGAAACCAACGTGCACTGACATCCAAGTGTGACAACCATTGACTTAATTTTCAACGTTGATTTCGATGATTTTCCACTTGAAAACCACCATATCCACCATTGACTTCGTGGATTTGCCAAGGTTACAATCTTCAGCTGAGCTGCTGTGAAGGGCATGAAAGGTCGGATAAGTCGGCTCCAGAAAGTCACTTCTTCAATCTTCCTGAGGGGAAACACCCGGTGAAATGGGCATTTCTTTACCTACTTGGCGAAGTAAAGTTGATTAGGTTGATAAAGAAAATACAATATATATATACATATATATATGTATACATATATATATATATTAGCTTTTTTTAAAGTCTCGTAAAAATATTTTTGTTATCTAGCGTACGTGTAGTGACGAGTGACATGAACGGGGGTATGAACGTGTGTGTGAACGACATGCGTGCGAGTGAACGTACGTGCGAACGTATGTATGTACGAGTGAGCGTACGTGCGAGCGAACGTGTGAGCGTACGTCCGTGCGTTTGCACGGTCACTCGCCACGCGCGCGCGCACGTACGAAAATAAGGTCGACTTGAGTCGACCTTATTTTTGCACGACCCTGCCTCTTTAGTATTGATTTAGTATTGTAGCGCTTTGCACGTACAGAAATAAGGTCGACTCCAGTCGACCTTATTTTCGTACGTGCGCGCGCACGCGGCCAGTGAACGTGCAAACGCACGCATGTACGCGCACACGTCCGTCCACTTGTACGCACACGTCCGTTCACTCGTTCGCTCACACGTGCACTCGTCCGTTCACTCGTTCGCCTTACGTTCGTCACCACGTCCGTTAGCCACTCGTACCCCCTACGTTCACCGCGTCTCTTGGAGCTTTAAAAGCATTGTTTACGAGGCTTTAAAAAAAGCTAATATATATATATATTCATATATACATATATAGTATGAAAGATGATAATATGATAATAATTGCATATAGATTGATTAGGTTGATTAGGTTGATAATAATAATATGATAGATATTCTGCACTTGGATGAATTTACACACCAGAACCGCTACAAATGGAGCGGGCTATTGCAATTGCAATATATTGCAAGGGTCAAGGATTGTACCTTGGAATAAGAATCAGCAGATCCAATTACCAAACATCGTAAGGGCCAATATAAACAGGTACAAATCAACGCAAGGACTGGGGGTTCTCCTAATGTCATAAACAACACATCCGTTTCGGACGGTTTATCTTTTATTTATTACTGAGCTTGTATTGTTTTATGATTGTGGATCCACAATTCTCCCAGTTAGTAAGTTATAGTTTAGGATTATTCTTAGTAACAGCAAAATCCCAAGTATAATGCTAATGTGTCATTACCCCAATAATGCTAATGTGTCATTACCCCAAAATATATGAATATATTGACGAGAAGGGAAGTTTCAAGTATATTAGCCTCGGAGACTCCGACTTCTATAGCTTAACTTAGGGTCCCATTGCCCAAGATAAACATCACCTGGGTTTGTCTGAAAATAGCGTACTCCAGTATTTTACGTGATGGCTAATCATCATTCTCTCCATTCTTTGGCCATCTGGAACGTATCTTCCATTTCCAGACACACCGACACATCGTGAAAAGCAAATAGTTAAGATGCTGATGTCCACAGTGAGGTGTCCTGAAAAAACATACCCCCAAATCATCCAAGTCATGGATGACCATTTGTTGATTTGGGGCCTTTCCTTCGGGTACCCCGGCATTTTATCACGGAGCACCTCTACACGCCGGTGATACCATGGCCCAATGCATCCCAATTCAGCCACCAATTAGCATTTCCAACAGAAAAGGTCTCTCAACAGTTCATGCTACCCTCTGGTAAACTAACATAGCTATTGAAATGGAATAGAAATAGTGGATTTTCCAGTTCGCTCTGTAAACGTTTACCAGAGGCTAAACAACTCATTCGGAAATGCCACAATTTACCGTGACATTTTAAGAATCATTTCCGTGCGCGATTCTCCGAAGGGGGCTATGATCGAGCCATGGGCGACACCCAGTGGGAAACTTTTCCCAAGCTAATTGACTGAAAACATCGAAATTGATAAGGTAATGTCCTGACTTTATATCCACATGTTAGCTGGGTATATCCACATTTAGGTGGTTGAACATGAACATATTCACATTTCAGCTGCTAAGAAAACAAAAGTGCAGTGCTAAGAAAACACAAGTTCAGCTGGTTTATAACCAAAACCAAGAACAGCTGGTTAAAACAAACCATGTTTTAGTTGCTGTTTCTTTACATTCTTATAAAACATGTGAGTGAAAAATCGAAAAATCTCACAATTCACTCGCAGAGCCAAGAAACTGCGGCACCACAAGGTAGAAGAAGTCTTGACGCAAGGCTTGGGCCACCAAACGTCTAACGCTTGCAGCATGCATGGGCCGGATGGGCTGCAGTAGATTCAACCATGAGCTTAGCCAGCGACTGATGGAACATGGGGATTTCAGTTTTAAAAAGAACAGTGAAAACACATGGAACCATATACCCTCTGGTAATTTAACATAGCTATTGAAAATGGCTCAGAATAGTTCGTTGATTTACCTATTCCAAATGGTGATTTTCCAGTTCGCAAACTGTAAACGTAGAAACCAGGCCGGGTACTAGATGATGGAGGTCTCCTATGTCGGATCAACGGCTACAACCATAGCATTTCAAGCCCCATTGGGATATAACCCAGAAAACTATGGTTAGAGAATGAGAATTCAATGGACTGTATATTTAGGCATTTTTACCTGCTTTGATAGACCGCGGGATTTCTGCCAGACAATGGCTAGAGCAGTGATTCAGTGCCTTCTGATCATGTTATCCCACGGTAACCCTGCTGTTCACATTCAAAAAGTATGTATGCATGCATGCATGCATGCATGCATGTACGTATGTATCTATGTATCTATGTATCTATGTATCTATGTATGTATGTATGTATCTATGTATGTATGTATGTATGTATGTATGTATGTACTTAGGTATGTATGTATGTATGTATGTATGTACTTAGGTATGTATGTATGCATGCGTGCATGCATGCAGGTACGTACGTTAGGGTAGGGTAGGGTAGGGTAGGGTAGGGTAGGGTGGGGTGGGGTAGGGTAGGGTAGGGTAGGGTAGGGTAGGGTTGAAGAGGGGCCCTAACGTCTACTTCAAGATCAGCTAAGGCGTCTTCCCAAGACAGCTCACACTTTTACTCTCGGCGTATTGCCAGTCAGTGCGGTGTCCACAGCTTACTCTATATACCTCTTGAGCCTTGAGGGCGCATATAGATGTGCTCATACTCATGCATGAACCTCTGTAGGTATTAGGTCAAAGGAAGACGCAGGCACAAATTCAAAAGCAATGAGTAGAGCACTACGCCTTGTCGTACCCAATTGGTATTAAGAGTATCTTCCTGTATTCCCTACACAATGGCAAATCGGCAAAAACGAGCGAAGTTGCGCAGTGGAATCGAAAAGAAAATCATCTTGAAAGCAGCGAATGTCCTAAGGACATGTCGAAAAAGAAACAGCGGATTCGCTAATTGTTTTCCAGTAGTGACCAATTGTGCGTCGTGCACGGTCGCTCCAAGCAAAGTGCTTCGCTCTACCGGTGAAAGTTCAAATTGAAATGTTCGGATTCGCAAGATTCAGAAATTTGGGTCAGATGGAAAAACAGTTGACCAAATCACAAAATAAACGGAAATCGCGGATCTCCAAATCTCATTCAAGCGAACAATGGACAATATTCGACGTTGGTATGTTGGATTCGCTCCATTCGGAGTTGTTCTGCTCAAGGAAAATTCATGGAGACAAAATGTGATAGTATCTCTATTTACAGGAGTATCTATCTACAGTAAATTGAAATTCCGACACTTGTGACATTATCTCTAAAAGAGTATATGTCATCGTGTGAAAAACATCTCTGCAAGGAGCTAGCGCACCCTCGCTCACAGCAGAGGAAGGACTGGTCGCCAAATCACCGAGACCCTGCTCCTCCACTGTGAGAAAGCTGCCGTCCGACTCAACATCCATTGCCCACTCAAAATGCGTGGCGGAACAAGCTGCTAGACAACATGGTTTGATGTTGCGCTCATTTTCAGGAGCCCTTTTCTGTTCTTGCATGATCTTCTTGCATGACTTGGTTGCATAGGATTGTTGCACAGTCAATGCATTCAAAGTAAATCAGTTCGATTGCTCGGGGAAACCACTGGGATGTTGCGAAATTGCACTTCTAAGGGGTCGTGCTTTACAAGTGGCGCTACGTTTTGGAAGTGGAATTCAGGTCGGAGGATGCAATCTTTGATGTTGAAACAACAGTTCAAATTCTTCTCCCCGGGGTAGTCCAACTAATGATGATGCCCGTTCAACTTGCAAGAAATGGTTGCTTCAATGTTCATGCACTATACAATTAACAAATGATAGGAAACATATACATTGTTTGTTTCAGGCCAGTCACTGGCGTGCGTGTGCACGCAAGTAATCCATGGTTGCAGCATCCTTCGACTTCGCGACCTTGATCGTCTGGTTGTCAACCTGTGAAATGAGACTCTCCAAGCTCGCACAGGCAAAGTAACCGACCCGAGACATCGCAATGGATGGCAGCGGCTAATGATCTGAAGCTTCGAGCACCGAATTGCTGGCAACATGGACTCCGTCAGGGAATCATCAAAAGGCACAGAAGATGAACCATCAATGCCACAGAGAATCAAAGCTTTGCAAATCTTGAAATGTTCAACTATGTGAAGTTGCAACTGGGTCCATTTAGAATCCGACATTACAGTCACGAACGTGGAGACAACATGTTCATGTAAAACAACCGTAATTTATGATAACCCCCATTAAAACAGAACACAAAATCCTAGGGGAATGACTCATTTACTCATGAAAAGGCTTACAGGGTTATGATTTCATATAATATACCATAATATCCCATTACCAGTAATATAGCAATATGATCCAATCATTATAACCAACGAAAGGTAACGATTTTCATATTCCATCATATTCCCATATAAGCAATGAACGGTATCTATTCATAGGGAATGACCATATCCAATCATATCCAATCATGATATAACTAATATCAACTTTACAACTTGTATTCACCAAATGGTGTTATACCACTACTCTACCAATATTATCCAATCATTATACCATGATACATAGTGGTGCCCCATAGATAGCTAAGTTGGTTTATGACTACAATAAGTGGGACTTATGGTAGATATATCTATAGTTGATGGGGGTTATAAACTAACTTATAACTGGGGGGGTACCACATTATACAACTATTCTCACAACTCTTGCGCACCAAACGGGTCCATCGCCGTTCGTGGTCGCCAAGTGACAGGTAAAAAGGTGGCCAGCTGGTTCCGCTCAGGCGTCAGCCACAAGTCAGCAACCTGTCGCACCCCACAAAGGATGGCGATTTCTGGATGTTTAAGCTAGATATCTTTGACGGATCTATATATTGGTAGAACAAATGGTAGATAATGGTAAGTAATGGTAAGTAATGGTAGATATCTTGGATTCGCATTAAAGTATATATATATATACCAGACCATTCAAGTTGTGACCTCTTTCTCCCTTGGTTTGAGGTCACTTAACCCTTGAAATGGTCACAAAAACTAGGCCCATTCAATAGTCACAACTTGAACTGCCAGGTATGATATATTTCATTTATTTAAAATAGTGGTCATATGTCATGATATTATGTCATCATTAGCTAAATTTGTTTTGTTATGTTGTTACTATAGTAACTACGACCGGGGATCCTACGACTGGATGACAACCAGTCAGTTGAGTGTTTGGATGATCGCCAGGGTCTCAGCGGGATCATCCTTGCGGGTCTCAGCGGGAGTGTTTGGTTGCGTTAAACTGTGGCATACTGGTGACTAATGGTAAATAATGGTAAATAATGGTAAATAATGGTTATAATGGTCCAACTAACAGTTATTTTTATAGTTCTAGCCTCTGGTCAACGTTTATTAAAAACGAACCGGAAAGATCCACCATGCTATGTAGCTGGGTAAATCAACGAACTTTCTAATTTTCTATGGCCATTTTCAAGTTCGTAAACTGTTAGTTATTACCAGAGGGTCACCGTTTTAAACTAGCCATAATTGCAAAGTCAACCTGCCATCATCTTAATGGCTTCTAATCAGGCATCGTCTCGCCGTGCGAGATTGAATATCCATTTAGCCCCACGGTCGTCGATCCTCCCCGTTCATTTTGGGCTGCTCAAAAGTCTAAAGTTACAGCTCTTAAAAACATATGGCCATGGGATTATGACTCCTGCAACTGGTTGGTTCATGTTGGTTCTATATCACTTAAATGCACTTTTTTCAGCGAGTTATAACTCTTCAGGGCTACATTAAACTGTAGATCATTGCCCGGAGAGGGCGGAGATAGTTTGAGAGGATGGACGGATGGACATGGAGCAAACATCCCTGCTATTTCCAGCGATTTTGAGGGGGCACCCGGGGCTTTTTCTGGTTGGTGGCTTTTCGCCCTACCCCTCTGAAAAATCATGGAGTGAAAATCAGTTGGGATGAGTATTCCCAATATATGGGAAAATAAAACATGTTCCAAACCACCATCCTTGTCCATCCTTGTCGATCGCGCAGTCAGAGTCTGGCGCTGACTGCCCGCTCTTCGGGCTCTACACTAACGACTGCACCACAGCAGGAAAGAGGGCATCCTTAGTGGCATACGGCAATGACTTGAGGTGTCCTGACGAACGTCTGATACCTCCAGGGCAGTGAGTCAAGATCCATTCGTCAATGCTTTGCAGTCTCTGCGGACACCATGGAACAGCTATGCATGCCGTGTGCAACATCAGTGCCTCTGACTTTGGCCTGCAATATTTAAACGTGGTGGCCACCTGCAAATGTCTCAAACATTCACGCAGCACCTTGGAAAACCAACGCACTCGTACCAGAAAAGAAAGGGACATGAGATCTGAACCCTGCAATTCATGGCCTAACCGCCACCGCTCAATTTTGACAGGCCCTGTCTCTCCGCAAAGCATATAGTCGATGTACAGTTGAAACTGGGACACCCACTGAACTTGCTCTTGGGAATTCCAGACTGCATACCAGTACCAGGACAAAATGTTTCTGACCATCTCGTCCCCATACCAACGAACAGCTTGAGCCGGAATGGTTAACTCAGGCACTGGAGTCCATGCATCGTCAGGTACATCAGGTGTCACGCAAAGTTCCTCCCGAGGTGCAGAGTTATCCTGATCTTTGTTCCGCACAACTGCTTGGCTAATTTTTAGCAACACAGTCTGAATTTGTCTAGAAATTGTGTGACAGGAAAGCACAGCGTTAACGTGTTTGGAATAAAAACCCCAAAACTCTGCAGGTCTCAAAAGCTGGGCACGACTGGCAGCTTGGTCAACC